GAGCGCAGTGAGGTGCTTGGACCACCAGCACGGGGTTTGCCTCATGAGGCAAATCCGAGTCTCCCTCTCTTCTAGGTCTCGGCAAACTATCCTCAGCTAAACTACAAGCCCACCATCTTCTTTGCTTTTGGGTCTCCCATCGGGATGTTTCTCACAGTGCGCGGAGTGAAGCGGATCGACCCAAACTACAGCCTGCCCACCTGCAAAGGCTTCTTCAACATCTTCCACCCTGTAGGTGTTCTTCTTCTGGAGCCTTCCTGCGCAAGACACACGGACCGCGGCTCATGTCTCACCCTTCCCCTCTCCCGTGCAGTTTGACCCGGTGGCGTACAGGATCGAGCCCATGATCGTCCCAGATGTGGAGTTTGAGCCCATGCTGCTGCCTCACCACAAGGGCAGAAAGAGGATGCACCTCGGTAAGGGACGGGCAGCCCCTCTCCCAAAAGGGCACAGCCGCTGCGGCCCCCGCCCCAGCACCGACCCCTCCTGCCTTTCAGAGCTGAAGGAAGGGCTGACGCGCATGAGCGTGGACCTGAAGAACAACTTGCTGGGGTCCCTGCGGGTGGCCTGGCAGTCCTTCACCCGTGCCCCGCTGCCAGCCGTGGAGGCGGCGAGCGCCGACGCCGAAACAGAAAAAAAGGAGAAGCAGCCCGGTGGGTGGTGTAGGGGGGGAAGCGGGGGTGCAGCATCAAGACCTGCCCTCGGAGTCACGGGCTCACCCGCCGGTGAGGTGCCCATCCCGGTGTCAAACTCAGTGAAGGGAGGGCACGGGGACGCTGCTGTGTTTTCCCGGCTGAACCACCCTGCACTTCTTCCCTTCAGACACAAAGCCAGAGGAGACCCCCCCAGCAGTGAAGGAAGAGGCCTCCTTCATTAACGTGGGGAGGCTGAACGGAGGGAACCGCATAGACTACGTGCTGCAGGAGAAGCCAATAGAGAGCTTTAATGAGTATCTCTTTGCACTGCAGGGGCACCTCTGCTATTGGTAAGATTCTGCCTATCTGTCAAAGCTTCACGTTGCTGTCTGACATCATTTTTAAAGTCAAAGTAGTAAGAAAAGCCTTACCTGAGGAGACAAGATATGCTCCTGCCTGTACCGCAGATGTGGGGCGGGTGGGACAGAGGAGAGCGGCACAGCTCTCCATGCCCAGCACCAGCTGCCTTTGCCAGGCGCTGCATCTACCCCCTAACCATCGCGGCTGTCCTCACGGAGCGGAGGGAAGCGCCCCCTTCTAATTCCCATGTCCTCTCCTCCTCCTCCAGGGAGTCGGAGGACACGGTTCTGCTGGTTCTGAAGGAGATCTACCAGACACAAGGCGTTACGCTGGATCAACCTTTGCCAGGGGGCCAGTGACCAACCTGTGCTGTCCTGGCTGCTTGATGTAAGTTGCGTTGCCCCTTCCAACTTTCCTAGGACAGCTGGTTGGTCCGAGGGAATAATAGTCTTTTTATTTAGAGCGCTGTGTCTACGGCAGGAGTTTGTGTCAGGTTTCTTTCTCTGGCTTGTCAGCGTGTTTGGCTTCTTTTCTCTCGCCCTCGCAGCCGAGCGCTGCAGGTGCTGGGTACGGCAGGCTGGGCGGGGTGGATTTTGGTCTGCCCTAGTGCAGTTCTTCCTGAGTTCTCCTTTTGCTTTCTTAGATCCAATTCAACCAAGCACTCACCGGGAAAATCCAGAATTCTTCTCTGCCTTCCTCTCTCCTCTGCTGCTGTGTCCTGCATGCCGCTTCCAAAGTACTTGCTGCTACCTGGAGATGATTTTCCTCCATTTTGGGTAGGGGTGGGGGAAAAAAAACCCAAGAGAAAACACTTCTGCTCAAACACACACAGTTCCTGCACTGTGACTCCCTGTGGCAACACGTACTTTTAACCCTGCACCGTGTAAGTTATCACACAGCAGACCAGCTGTCTGGGCTAGGAACCAACCTTGAGGGCCTGGGTCTGCTCCTGGCTTAGCGAGGAAACTCGCAGCTTGTGACCTTGAGGAACAAAAGCCTTAAACATGCAGCATGGAGAGAGCTATCACAGCCTTCGCAGCCTTGTCGAGCGAAGGGGACTGCTGACTCCTCCCCGCCAGAGCGCCAGGACTGGGGTCTTTGGGAGGGGAAGGCCAGGGCACAGGCAGCTGCTGCGGAGCGAGCACGTGTCTCACCAGCCACTCATCTCCCCAACTTGCTGCCGCGTGGTTTGTGCACCCCTGGGCCGTGCCAGACAGGACTGTCCCGCAAACCCCCTCATTTGTGTGCACTTGACCCCAGCGGTCCTGCCTGCCATCGCACCTTCCAGCATCCTCACACAGCCCGAGGCCAAAACCTCATGGAGCACCGAGCTAGTGGCCAGGAGTAACTGCACGGGAGGAAAGCTTCACCTCCAGAAGCACCTACAGCCAAGGCTGGGGGAAAGCAGCGGTGCCCAGGCCTGGAGGGAGGGACAGCCCTCCCCTGCTTCGCACCGAGTCTTTCAGGGTGGCTACGGGGGTCTCAGCCAGGTTCCGGTCATCGGTTTGGGTTTTAAATACACAAAATGCAGCCAGCCACGATGGAGCCCAGAGCCCTGAAGGTCTGGATGCTCTGTCCCAGCGACCCCACGGAATAAATGCCCCTGGCACTGCAGG